TACATGTACAGCCTCAGCGCGGCGTATACACCGTACACCGTGCCCCCCTCCACCCCCCACACCCACTCCAGCACCCTGCAGGGGGCGGAGTGGGGTGAAGACGCTACAGGTAATGTAATTGGAATGTCGCGTGCTCGCCACAACCACTGGAAAAGAGAGAGGGGGGGCGACGGGCCGGGAAAGCGAAGTGAGTAATCTCACAAATGCCGCATGGAAAAGGCGGCAGTGATGAGAGGGGGGTCTTTTGTACACTCACGGAAAATTTTCAGTCATCAAATTGTGTTCGATACGCCCCGATTAGTCGGGGGGCATCGAAATTTTACTTCGGGACCGGAAAATTTCACAATGTACTAGCGCGTGCGTCTCGAAGAAAATGGTTTAACTTTGTTCGACTTAGTTTCACTCAGCCTGCGGTCATCGCATAGTTATTGGAGAATTTTTACACGGAAAAAAAGAATTTGCTCCCACAACTAACGATTTTGTTAACATAGACATAACAAATAATTTTTAGTTGCAGGAACAAAGAAATTGCTATGGGAACCAAAATTCTGCTGCCACAACTAACGCGTCGCTATGGTCGGCTATGGTAACAAATGCAACTGTTCTGGTTACTAAACGAGGATTTTTTCTTACAACAAACGCATTTGTTACCATAGCGACGCGTTAGTTGTGACAGCAGAATTTTGCTTCCCAGAGCAAATTCTTTGCTCCTGCAACTAAAATTGTTTGTTATGTCCATGTTAACTAAATCGTTAGTTGTGAGAGCAAATTCTTTTTTTCCGTGTACGCACAGCAGAACGGTATTTTTCAAAACTGAAATGCTGTGAGTGCCTCTTTCTTTTCCGCGTGTTCATTTGCGCTATGCTCGACAGTGTCAGGGCTACGACAGCGGTATGTGCGCTCACCTATCGGTACTTGTTTAACGCCATGGCCCGTAGGGTATACAAACCTGCAACACTGTACACACACGGTACTGAACCGGCCGTCCAGCTGTGATACATGACACAGGACGTCACATGGCGGTCCGCTCATACCGACTCGCGCCGGTGGCTATGCACCTACTTTTAACCTGGTCGGAGGCTTCCTCCCCGCTCCCCCTCTACGGCTGTGGATGGCTGTGCCGATGGGTCCTTCCCCCTTAAGTCTGCCTCGTGCGCAGTGTGGCAGGGGCGGGGCGGGGAAGTGGGAGGTAGGCCCGTGCAGCGCGGCGCCAAGTCCCGAGGGACGCCATTTTCTGTCCCCTACGCCAGCCAGCCAGCCTCTCGCGAGGGGCGTAGCGGGCCGGGCGCGCTGAAGCCTTGCGAGGTGGCAAGGGGACCTCGCCCTCCTCCCCTCTCCCCTCCCTTCTCTACTCCTCACTCGCACTCAGTCACTCACTCACACACGCACAAAAAACATACACGCACTCGGCGTTCCAACTCACCTATCGATTATCACGGGGTCCGAAGGGGTTTCGTTTCTGTTTCCGCAGCTCTTTTTGTCGCAACACCGACTGAAATTAGAAATAAACGATATTTTTTTCTCGTTGAAAATAAATACATATTTAGTTGAATAGACGCCGACGACGCTCGTGTATATTACCTGCACATGACCTCGTGAGTGAGGAGTACTCTGCACATCTCGGGGTTTTTGTCCTGGCCTTCGTACACTATTACCTGTAACAGAGGAAAAAAAATAGTTGTTTACATCGGCGTGTTGAAAAAGAGTGAAATATCGAGGAAAAATGTTATAATCGTGGATGCAGAGTTTGTTTCTTCGTGTTTCTTGAAAAAGAGCAAAGGAGATTTTTGACGGGCAAAGTTTTTTGGGCAGAAGCAATTTTTTGTTGACCCTGAACAAACAACAACTGTTGGGTTCGAAGAAACATTTTCGATGTGTGCGAGTATAGTATATAGTAATGGCCTTTCCTCGTAGGGCATTTTGACACTTATGCAGCACTCAGGTTGTCACTGTCAGCAGCACTTCTCATTGGCAATGCGCTTGCTGTTTGCGCAAAGTTGCCGGCACTCACTGAGTCACTCCCTTCACGTCACGCTTCTGACCCCTCCCCTTCTCTTACCGTGACCCCGACAACCCTCAGCCACTTCCCCCTCAGCGCACGGCCCCCCC